TCCTCGTTCTTCTATAAACTTCATCCCTGACCGCTCTTTTTGCAAACCTTATATGTATCTCCCGTGGTAGTCTGTGTCTCCTAACGTAATTCGTTTGCACCCTATATATTTCATCAATGTTGTTCCTTAATTCATTTTTATCTATTTGTAGTGGGTCAGCTAGAATGTCTTGCAGACAGGGCCGGATTTAGATGAAAAGAGGCCCTAGGCTATTCCACTTATGAGGCCCTTTCACCTATAGTGAAAGTGTAATTTTAATTTTGCTAACAATTTGAATGTAGGCCCCTCTTGATCTTGAGGCCCCTCTTGATCTTGAGGCCCTAGGCTGAAGCCTAGTTAGCCTATAGGAAAATCCGGCCCTGCTTGCAGATATTTCATTACCAAATTAGGTAACATCATCAGTACTAGAAGGGAGTGGAGTTTGCTCTTATTTTCATATACTAGTGGCTTACCCTGTCAGTGTTGATCAGTTGCTTCACAAACAGTGTTTTGATTGGTGCTGGGTCTCTACAGCCTCAGGAAGAGAAGGGCTATTCTGCACCCCTCCCTCAAATGTTCTTTAAAATACAGAGTTTCTCAGCATTCATTCAGGAATCTCCAATATGCAAACTGTGGTTACTCATCTTAAAATGAATCTTCTTTACTTGGAGCTTCAAAATTTGCTGTTTGCTGGGAAGGTGTGTAGCTAAAAGTCAGTCTCCATTTAGTCTACATCTGACTTTGGGGATATTTCTTCATAACCAAACAAAAGTGTATTTTCTGTGCAGATCACACCCCTTGCTTGCTGGATCTGGATGTCACAAAGCAAAGCCCACATTTTGTAATTAACTCCCATGCCCTGTTTTGGCTGGCAGAGTGCTGCAGGAGGCTGAGTGCTGTCACACCCATGCCCACCCTGGCCACACAACCCAGCCACACCCACCCTGGCCATGCCCACCTTGGCCACACTCCCAGCACCACGCTTCCAGCAGAGTGGATGATTACTCTTCACAATGGCAATGCCCCCAACTAAGGAACTATGACCAATTTATGGCGGCACTTCATTGGTGGTTTGAGGATCCCCAGCCAAAGACAAGGTTGGGACCCGACTGAAGACCATTACTCAGGAGCGGAGATTGGTGGCAGAATACACCCAGGAGTTCTGTGAGCTGGCCTGCCATCTGGCCACTTGGCTTGAGGAAATCCTGATGAAATGTTACAAGGATGGGCTTAACAATGAAGTCTATCACAACTGCATCAAGATCTCCAATATTAGTATGTATTGGCAGATAAAGTTGAGATAGACCTAGCCAGGGACTGGCACCATAGCAAATACAAAAGGGGCAAGCCTTCCCCTTCTGCTCATAAAGATTCCCCAAAAGCTGCCAAAGGCGGGTCAGAGCCCAAACTGAGGTCCACAGCATGCTTCAAGCGTGGGAAAGAAGGACACTGAGCAGCTGACTGCCATTCTGCCAAATTGAGAGATTTGGAATGACTTTCAGTGTGAAACTTTTGCATGTTTTGACTCAGATCTTGCCTTGCTTTCGCTGCTATCATTTCAAACTTAGTAAAAGTATCTTTTCTTTCTTGAATTTTGAATGGATGCAGACCTGACAGCCTTCTAATACTTTGTGAAACCTTGTACTTTATATTCCATGTGCTGCTGAAACCATTTCAAGGATGGAGAAAACTTACTTAAGGTCACTTTCTAGTTCTTTTTTATCCCAGATTTGTGAAGGCTCAATACCAACTAATCATCTAACTGAAGCTTGACTTTCAAGCTTTGTTGTTCCTGTTTTGTTTTGTTTTATTTTGCTTTGATTTTTTTTACTTATAATTGTCTTTTACAACAGTTATAATTATAAATTTAAATTGACTTCTTATTCTAAATTTGCAATATAACTTTCATTTTTTTCTGTTATCTATTTTTCCAAGCATCAAATTCATATATCATAATTTTTTTTTCTGTTTTACACAGAAACTCCAAAAGGGGTTTTCAATCAGCATTAAAATTAATCAGTGCCTTTTGTCTAATCATCATACATTCAGTAGTAAAAGTTCATCCTCAAAGCATTTGTAGTAAGAACCTAAGAATCTATGTGGTCCTGATGCTATTTGTGGCTTAATTTGTTTTTATGCTTCAGAAACTTTCCTTATTGTCCATTCTGTATATGGTTTGCTGTAAATTTTGTTTTTTTAAAAAAGAATCATCTATTTTTTAATGTGAATATCATGTTCTTTATACATCTTAGAGTAATATTGTTAAAACTGTAGAGCTGTAAATATACCGTGTTTCCCCAAAAATAAGACCCTGTCTTATATTTTTTTGAACCTTGAAATAAGTGCTTGGCTTTATTGCCATGTGCTCAAAAGCCTGATTGGGTTTATTATCAGGGGATGTCTTATTCTGGGGGAAACAGGGTAGTATTTATTGCACAATTAATACAGTATCTTCCTCTAGAAGTTTCAAAATAGCAATAGCATTTAGACTGATTTACAGTGCTTTACAGCCCTCTCTAAGTAGTTTACAAAGTCAGCATATTGCCCCCAACAATTTGGGTTTTCATTTTACCCACTTCAGAAGGATGGAAGGCTGAGTTAACCTTAAGCCTGGTGAGATTTGAACTGCCAAATTGCAGGGAGCTGGCAGTCAGGAGAAGTAGCCTGCAGTGCTGCACTCTAACCACTACACCACTGAGGCTCATCATTTTCTTTCTCTTTTCTTAATATGTATGGTAACAATTTATTTACAAATTCAAAACAATTTTCCACAACATCCTTCACCTTTATTTCCATTTCTTTAACTTTTAACTTTAATGTGGCTTAGGCCCGGGGTACTTGCAGGACCATCTCCAGCTGTTCTCCCACTGTCCTGTGCGCTCTCACAGAGTCGGCCTCCTCAGGGTGCTGTCGGTCAAACAATGTCGGCTGACGGCCCCCAGGAAGAGAGCGTTCTCTGTGGGAGCCCTGACCCTCTGGAATGGATTGCCCACCGAGCTCAGGACAGCCCCCGACCTTCTTTCCTTCCGTCGTGAGCTGAAGACGTGGCTCTTCCATCAACTCAACTGATCCGTTTGGGGGTACACTGTCATAATTTTAAACTGTTTTAATAGGGTTTTAATAGGGTTGCTGATTTTAATTTTATTTCATTGTGATTTGTATTGGAATTTGTCATTTTGTAAGCCACCTTGAGTCCCCAGGGAGAAAGGTAGCATATAAATCGCAATAATAAATAAAAAAAAAAAAAAAAAATGTAACAGCTTATTTTTTTCTGGTGATTTCTTTAATTCTCCCCCTTGTCTTTTTACTTATTATTTTTTTTAAAAACTATTATTATTTTTTTCAATCTTCTAGTATTAACTCTTTTTGTTGTAGCATTTCATTTAATATCCATCCGAAGGAGGTAAAGTTTACTATACATACAATATAATTTACTTGGACTTCAGTAAGACATTTGATAAAGTAGAATGTAACCTACTACTTGATAAAATAGAAAAATATGGGTTAGACAGCATCACCACCAGATGGATTCGTAACTGGCTGACCAACCACACTCAACATATAGTCCTCAATGGAATTGCATCTACATGGAGGAAGGCATGGAGTGGGGTACCCCAGGGCTCTGTTTTAGGCCCAGTACTCTTCAATGTCTTCATCATTGATTTGAACAAGGTGATAGATGTGGAACTCATCAAATTTGTAGATGACACCAAGCTAGCAAGAATAGCCAACACTCTGGAAGATAGGCTTAAGATACAGAAAGATCTTGACAGACTTGAACATTGGGTACTATCTAATAAAATGAAATTTAATGGTGAAAAAAGTAAGGTTCTACATTTAGGCAAGAAAAACAAAATGCACAGATACAGTATATGTGATACCTTGCTCAATAGTGGTGACTGTGAGAGGGATCTTGGAGTCCTAGTGGACAATCACTTAAATATGAGCTAGCAGTGTGCTGCAACTGCCAAAAAAGCCAGCACAGTTCTAGGCTGCATAAACAGAGGGATATAATCAAGATCAAGTGAACTGTTAATACCACTTTATAATGCCTTGGTAAGCCACACTTGGAATACTGCATCCAGTTTTGGTTGCCACAATGTAAAAAAGATGTTGAGACTCTAGAAAGAGTGCAGAGAAGAGCAACAAAGATGATTAGGAGACTGGAGGCTAAAACATATAAAGAACGGTTGCTGGAACTGGATATATCTAGTCTTATGAAAAGAAGGACATCGGCAGCTGTAACATGGCTTAAGGATTGGATAACTCTTAAAAATAAAAGGGTACTAACAATAGGCCATGATCTACAACTTGGCTGGCACACATTCATCTGGGAGGGAAAAAATAAATTTCATACGTATTTTCGGAGACATCAGGTAAGAGATGCCTTGTTAGATGTGTGGGGGAAAATCAAGAGAAATTATTACACAAAAATCCTGAGGTGGCTATCAACCATGGAAGCAATGATTTACCCCTATGTATTAGACTGGAATAAGGTAGTGACATACAAAGAGTTATTGGATGGGCAAGGAAAACTTAAATCTAACCAAGATTTAAAATCTCAAGGAATAGAAATAGATTGGTGGCCATATTTACAAATTCAGACAAGGTATAAAAAAAAAATTAGAAAATTTTGGCTTACAAAGAAAACAACAAGAATTGGACAAAATGTTATTAGGGATAGAAGAAAAAATGATAACGAAAACTTACAATTTTTTTTTAAAAAATTCAAAATGGAGGAGGAAACAGTGAAAGAGACCATGATAATCTGGGCCAAAAAATTTGGATATAATATTGAATTGGAATATTGGGGAAAATTATGGGGGGAAAATTATAAATTGTGAAGGAGGGGTTCTGGGTTCGAATGGACCGTGGTCCGATACACACACAAATGCACTGAAGCATGGAAGTTAACAGAAGAGTCTAGAAAAACTATTTAATTTAATAAAACACATAAAAACAAAACCTACAAGAAGGCATCAACAGCCTAAAAGATTCTCCTCTCCTCTCCATCTTTGTAGTGACTTCAGCATGCTCTCATCAAAGTCTCATCTGGTCTCGAAGTGAGGAGAGGGAGGAGAGATGATCTGCATGGTCATCTCCATCTGCATCATCTATCAGCATCATCTATCAGCTTCATCTGAGTAAGTGATCTGCTTCTGCTGCTTATATGCTCCTCTACTGACCGTTAGAACGTGCAGGAAACTCAGAGCCAGGAAGCTGTGCTCTGATTGGTTCATTCAAACTGTTCAAACCAATCAATCAATTAATTGCAGCAATATGCTGAGAGGTTTTTCCTCTAACAATCCCCTTCTCTGCAATAATTGATTACAGAAATACATGTACATACAAGTCATGAGCATATACATTACAGTAGTAAGAAATACAATCTTACATAGTCATAGATATCTTATCCAAGAGATATTGGTGTTGATCCCTAGGCAATAGCTTTGTGAGCAAGTCTGCTATTTGTTCCTTTGTCTCACAGAAAACTGTCCTAACAAAACCTATCCTGGTCAATTGTCTGACATGTTTATATTTGATGTCAATGTGATGCGACCTCTGTCCCACTGCATCAGCCTGTGAAATATTTGTAGCAGCTGTGTTATCCTCATGAATCTCAATAGGATACACTGGTTCTTCCCACAAGTTTATTAGAAGATCTTCAAACCATACCAGATCATTAGATGCTTTCGATAAACACACATATTCTGCCTCAGCAGTGGAAGTTGCAATTAACTTCTGTTTAACTGAGTACCAATGGACGGGACTCCCATTCAGAAATATGACATAACCTGAAGTACTCTTTCTGGACTTAATGTCCCCTGCCCAATCAGCATCTGCATAACAACACAAACTTGGCTTATCTGATATGTCTGGCTCCAATAAAAGTGAATGTTTACCAGTGTTATTTAAATATCTTAAAACTCTTTTAATTCTACTCCAGTGGTATTGAGTGGGATTCTCAGAGTGTCTGGACAAAACGTTTACAGTCAAACTGATATCTGGCCTAGTCCAGCTTGCAATATACAACAATGATCCTATCACTGATTTATAAAGTGTCTTTTGCTCAAAAGGTTCACTTTCAGCATACATATTTTGAGGAAATCTGTCTGCATGGGTGTGTCACAAGGTTTGGCCTCTGTCATGTTGCATCTTTCTATCAATTCTATAATCTTGTCCTATTGGGAGAGTTCATACCCTTTCTCTGTCTTTACAAATTGGACTCCTAAGAATTTATCAATTCGACCTAGAGGTTTAGGGCAAAATTCTTACTTAACTCCTTGGAAAACATCTTACATCGATCCTCAGACTTGCAGACATACAAAATATCATCCACCAGAACTGTTTCTTTAATAACTTGGTGATTTTTAATGAACACACATTCATCAGCTGATGAGATTGTAAAACCCATCTGTTTTAAACTACTGGTAAGCATTCGTACCACCTTCTGCTAGATTGTTTAAGACCATAGAGGATTTTATTTAAAAGCCAAATATCATTTCCCTGGTGATCTACACCTTGAGGAGCCTTAACGTATATTTTCTTATCTAATTTGTTGTGTAAGTATGCAGTTTGTATGTCAAATTGGTACAAACTCTCCCCTTGTATGGCAGCTATAGTGAGTGTGGTCTTCACACTTTCAGGCCACACTGTAGGCGAGAAGGTGTCAACATAATCATCAGGGAATCTTTGTGAGAAACCCTGTGCAACCAACCTCGCCTTGTAAATAAACCTCCCATCTTCAATGGGCTTTTTCTTAAAGACCCATCTTGTGCCAATTACCTTTTTGTTCATTGGTAACTCTGTTGGGGTGAATACCTCTAGTTTTTTCAAACTCTGCAATTCAGTATCCATCTAGCACGCCAATTTTGTTGTTCTTTATCAGATAGCATTAACACATCTTCATACCTTTGGGGTATGACCGAAACCTGGTCAACAGAAGTGACAAAACCTTCATACCTTTTTGGCTTCTTCCCCCTAGTGGATCAAACTGGCCTTTTAACTGATTCTTCATCCATTCCAGTACTATCTGATAAGTTGTCCTCCTCACCATCACCATTCTTTACCCTTAAAGTGGGATGCCCTTCTTTCCATGCTGTCTTCGTTTTCCACTTTAAGATTCCCTTCAAGGGTTTGGGGGGTGTACTGTCCTCTTCGTCTCCAAAACCAGAGGTGTCGCTATCGGTAGATACGCCTTCAGACACTTTTTCTGCGTTTTTATTTTTACTATGAGGGGGATCTTGAGTCAGGATCTCATTTGCATGGATCCTGCTCTAATTAGTGCCTTCGTAAAAAGTAGGTGATCTAGATATTACAATTCTCCCATTTGAATCCACGAACCTAAAAGCCTTAGAACCTGTCTCATAGCCCATAAACCTCAGTTTGGCTGAGACTTTATCCCCCTTCTTTCTAAGCTCTTTTGGGACGTGGACATCAGCCAGCACTCCAAATACATGAAGATGTGCCAATTTTGGCTTATGGCCATACACTATCTCATATGGGGTCTTTTGTACCACGCTGGACCATACCCGGTTGAATGTATAATTTGCATACGAAACAGCTTCCGCCCAATATGAAAAACTTAAGTTAGCATCCTCAAGTGCGCACCTTACCATTGTCTGCAGCATGGCATTCTGTCTTTCCGAAATTCCGTTCTGAAATGCGGAGTAGGGCGAAGTTCGCAAGTGTACTATGCCTTTCTGTTTTAGCCAATCAGGGAACTGTGCTGAATTAAATTCAGTTCCTCTGTCAGTCAAAATCTTTTGAATATTGACCTTATGCTGATTCTCCACTAGGCAGCAGAATTCCTTAAACTTAGACAATGTCTGATCCTTGGATTTGATAGGGTAAACAAATCCAAACCTACTATGGTCATCTACAATTGTCAGAAAGTAACGATTCCCACCAAAAGAAGCTTTCAGGGGGCCCACCAGATCCATATGTACCAACTGGAATATGTGTTCAGAATATCTCTGGGATTTCTTGGGTGCAGGATTTACTTTCGACTTCGCAACCCTGCAAATAGAACAGTCCAGAAAAACATTACAATCTTTAACCTTAGTTCCATTTGAACATTCAGATACCTTTTGTACTACTGGAAAGCTTACATGACCCAATCTGTGATGCATAAGATGAGGACATTCATCATATAATGGCTTGCCAATGGAGATTGCGTTGGCGTTCTCAGGCTCACTCCTTCCCTGTTTTAAGTTAAAACTTACAGCCTTCTTACTACTTAAAACATTTTTACAATTACCTTTAAAATTCCCCTTTTCTTGTGTACCTCCAAAATCATCATCTGAATCAAATTGAGATTAATCATCACTATCAAAAGTGGTAACCTCAGAATAACATCAGATTCCTCAGCCTTTGAAATAGGAGAGTAATAGGGTAAACCGCTGATTTTCAACACTTCCCCAACCACATGCTTATCATTGGTAACCACAGCAGTTCCCTTTGAGAACAATATCTCTATCTTAGAATTCTCACTTATCTTTACAGTGCTGAACAAATTATGATCAATGTCAGGTACATATAAAACATCATCAACTTCCTCAAGCCCAGGAATAAAAACCTTACCAATGCCAGTAACTCTTACCCTTTTACCATTTGCAACCTTTATCATAGATTTATATCCCTTCAATTCAGTAAACAACCTTTGGTTATTCATAATATGTTTACTTGCCCCACTATCCAACAACCATAGTTTTGTACGTTGTTTCCTTGAGAGATCTGACTCAGACGTCTCAACCATAGTGACAATGTTATTAGCAAAACCAAATTTGTCCTTCTTATCATCTTTCTTCGACCATCTACCCCTTCTCTGACTGGAAGGGTTACCTTGTGGCTTCCCATGCGGGGTGAGTGATCTTTTCCTATACCGACCACCAGAGGGCGCCCTTTGGTGTGCTCTAGCATTACGCAGGAAATCCCTTTTATAATGACCCTTAGACCCACAATTAAAACATTCTCCAATAGTATAAATCTTATCGGGGCTTTTTGACCTTCTCATTTGCCTATCCTTCCCATGGAAAGTTGCCCTATCTTTCCTCAAATTGTCTTCAGCAATTAATTTAGCAGACAGAATTTCCAGGGACATGTTTTCAGGGCTAATGTTGTCCAGTCGGGACACAAAATTATCCCAACTAGGATCTAGGGAGTTAATTATGATACTAATTAAACTTTGTTTGTCTACATGCTGTCCCCTTAAAGTTCACTCCTCCCTCATTTTATTAAGTTCACAAAGCTGTTCATTCATATCAATACCTGGTTTCAATTTTGCAGAGTGAAATTCCCTGGAAATTCTGCTTGTTGAATTCGAATTCTTGCAACAAAACAGTTTAAACAATTTTTGCCAAACCTCACATATAGTTAAACCCTGTGGAATATGGGATACAAAGCAAGGTCAATGGCTGATAACAAAACACAAAATGCTTTGTGATGCAAAAGGTCCGTTTCCATAGTCCAGGGTTTGAGGGGAGGGTCTAGCAGTAACGATAACACATTTTCCCTCATTAAAATCACCTGTACATTTTTAGACCATTCCTCTAAATTCTTTCCACTAATATGTAAGGTTTTAAAACCAGATGGCAAAACATTTGCATTTGTAGGCATGGGATTAGGGAGATGCTGCCTCCCATGAGGTCACAAATTTTTAAACTGACAATAGGGCATAGGAATCACGGCAGTTGGCTTAAAAACTGCCGGTTGATTGCTCGATGATGGCTCCCTTTCAATTGGGGGGGCGTCAAATTCTCAGGCTGGGTGTATTCAGAGATCATCCGTGCCTGTGGATGCAGAATGCGAAGACCTCCTCAACTGCCCCCCCCCCACAGAAAACCTTGAGCATTCTCCTGGAACATCAACTTCGGTTGGTATAGTCCCAGAGGTAGCTCCAAAAACTGAGGGCACCATAGGAGTGCCCGCCCCATTTACAGCAGATGAAGAGTGGGTCATAGATATCGAGGGAGTATTAATACGGGTTGAAGTTTCACATTGAGCAAGGAGTAACTGAAAATCACTTCCAAAGAACGCAGTTAGCATGTCAATTGCACTTGTAACTTCAGACTCGGGAGGTAAACTCCTTACATTCGAGGCTGTGCCCGCCCTCGCAGTATTAATCGCCTGGGTAGTAGCCCGC